CCCCTACCCCCCGCCACGGCTTCGCCCCTGGACCCCGGCTCGGTACTCCACGAACTTTCGGCTTGGTAGGAAAAAAAATAGTATGTGCACCGCGGGAAAAAAGTAGGACATCTCATCCCGCGTGGTGCACAATGTACTATATAAATCAGAAATAAATCGAACGTCCGTATTAACGCGATCGTAAATGTAAATGAGCAGATGCTTCCGCGAGGTAACGGAAGCGAGCGACACTGGGCCCGCAATTATGGCGTGCTAATGCGAACGCGTGCGGCTGGGTTCGTGCCTGTACATAGCTCAACAAGAGCCTAGATGTGACACACTCAAACATTACTAACGTCCTTTTTTTTATTGCTTAAATGGGTGGACGAGCTCACAGCCCACCTGGTGTTAACTGGTTACTGGAGCCCATAGACATCTCAACGTAAATGCGCCACCCACCTTGAGATATGAGTTCTAAGGTCTCAACAGCGGCTGCCCCATCCTTCAAACCTAAACGCTTCACATTACTGCTTCACGGCAGAAATAGGCAGGCTACCTACCCGTGCGGAGTCACAAGAGGTCCTACCACCAGTAATTACGCAAATTATAATTTTTCGGGTTTGATTTTTATTACAATGTGCTATGCCTTCACCGTGGAAGTCAATCGTGAACATTTTGAATGTATTTCATTAGAAAAATTGGTACCCGTCTGAGACTCGAACACCGGTGCATCGCTCAACACGAATGTACCGGACGTCTTATCCGTTAGGCCACGACGACTTCAAACTTCGAATTAATCGAAGGAGGTTTTAAGAGAGGTCATAGGCGAGGCCATATCGACTGACTCGGTGGTGCAATAGTTAGCGGTCCTGATCACGACCTATGCAAGTGTAACTCACGCCGCCCTCACTAACTTTAACCCCTTGAAGTCATTCAATCCCGTTTTTTCAGGATAGTCGTCGGAGCACCATGGTTCCTAAGTAATGTGGATCTCCATGATGACCTGGAGCTTGACTCAGTCAGTAAGTATTTACAGTCGGCATCATTGCGCCACTTTGAGAAGGCGGCAACACATAACCCTCTTGTCGTGGTCGCCGAAAATTACATACCCGATCTTGTTGACCGAATGGTAAACAGTCGACGTCGCCCCAAACACGTCATTACGGACCCTCTCGATCCATGAACGGTGCTTTTAGGTACCTCAAGCACCGGTCACCGTCCTCGTCGAACCCGCCGCGAAGGGCTCAACGAGCGAATTAGTCTATAGACACAGTCCACTGAGTTTCTCGCCGGATCTTCTCAGTGGGTCGTGTTTCCGATCCGATGGTAGATTCTGCGAAGCATTGCCTTTGCTAGGGCCAGTGTCAGCAACGTCCACAGGTTAGAGCCCCGTGAGCTCGCGTAAACGTCAAGGCGAAGCTGAAATAGCCTCTCAAGGCTATAAACATAGGTGGGGAAAAAAAATAGCGGCCTTGACTTGACTTGCCTTGAGTGCCGAGGGTCGTGGGTTCGATTCCCACATCAGGCAAACATTGTGTGAGGATCAGTTTTAATTGCTTTTCGTCTGGGTGTTTATTATCCATATATTTAAACATATATCAGTATGTTTACCAGTCTCTGATACTAATAACACAGGGAATCCTATATTGGGGCCGGACGACCGTGCGTCATTTGTTTCCAGTTATTTTTTTATTTATATTTAGTCGACTGTCCCTTTAAGACGTCCTCTACTAACATCTATTAGCGATAGTAAATTCTAACTATCAGGTAGACTTTATAGTATTGTGTATTAGAAGATAAAAAAAAAAAAAATTACAACTATTATACCATGATCCTACGGCGGTTCATGAAATTTACTTTCAGAATTTCACAGAAAGGCACTTAAAAAAAGGTCGGGTAATTAAAATGTGTACTCACATTTACACTTTATTTACCTACGTTTTATAAAATTGCAAAATTAACAATTTATCATATTTAAGGTCCCAGACTCTCCGGTGGACCATTTCGCTTTATTATTTCAATTTTTTTTTGTATTTTTAAACGTAAAATTATGTGCTATTAAGAAAATAGCACAAAGTATGTAACAGCTATTATAAAAAAATGTGTGTGTGTGCAAGTCACACACGGTAGAAGTGAAACTTATAAAAAATAAAAATAATCGCAAGGGTCAACCACCCCGCAGTGCAATGGAGCAGCCGCACCCCAGGGGAACCGCCTGTATGATCACGGTATCCCGACGCCAGGTAGGTATGATTTAGCAAGAGAAATACGAGAACGTCTATTAATTGTGTAACATCTCGTCACCGTGATTCAGGAATTGTTGAATTTACGTGCAGCAACATCTGTTGATAACAAACTAAATAGAAATAAACATGGCGCGTAACCGAAAAACGTTACATACATTTTTTCCTCCCTACGTCGATAAAGAAGTTTCACTTAAATTAGTCCACTGAGTTTGGTCAGTTCTTCTCAAGAACGTGGCTTGTTTGAAAGCAGTAGCAGAGATATGTTTCGACATTCAAAAGAAATGCCCGGATTTGTGATCCATGCTATTCGACGGTGACAATGCCAGTCAGTTTATGACGTTTCAGAGCCAAAAACCGTCCTTACGCTAGCCAGCTATTTTGGCACTGGAGAAACTATAAAACTGAATATGAAACTATAAAAATGAATGTCGTATTTATTTTTGACCTTCTACCTTTCTTTATGCTTTGTTATAGGAAATCGATTCAATGCGTAGCCAAACTGGTTTACTGGTGGTAGGACCTCTTGTGAGTGCGCGCGAGTAGGTACCACCACCCTGCCTATTTCTGCCGTGAAGCAGTAATGCGTTTCGGTTTGAAGGGTAGAGCAGCCGTTGTAACTATGCTTGAGACCTTAGAACTTATATCTCAAGGTGGGTGGCGCATTTACGTTGTAGATGTCTATGGGCTCCAGTAACCACTTAACGCCAGGTGGGCTGTGAGCTCGTCCACTCATCTAAGCAATAAACAAAAAAGTGGTATTCATTTTTGACCTTCTATATTTCTTTATGCTTTGTTATAGGAAATCGATTAAATGCGTAGCCATTTATTTTTGCGTGTGTTTATTTTGCGTTACAATTAGTGCCGGTTGTTTGAATACTGCATAACCGTTTGGTCGTTAGTGGTAGTAAAAAGTTTTTAGTAGATATTGATGGAGGAAGAGGTAGACCTAAGAAGAAATGGATAGATTGTGTGAAAGACGATATGGGTAAGAGGGGAGTGAGCGAAGAAATGGTATATGATAGAAGAGTATGGAAGGAGAAAACATGTTGCGCCTACCCCAGGTGACTGGGAGAAGGGCAGGAGAATGATAATGATGATGAATGATGATTTGTGCGTGTTAAGCATTAGAAAAAAAAACCAATAAAGCTATCTCGTATTCTAGATCAGAGGAAAGAAAAATAATCTTATTTAAATACTATTTCAATTTCGACTCGACTTTAGGTAAACGCAGTTTGCAAATATTTACTAGTGGCATATTCTGAATACAGTTTGGTATTCTCATATTGATTACTGCTGTCGCAAAACAATGATGTCCCTGATTTGCATTAGGTAATTAAGAGAGCAGGTTCTGTGTGACATGACGTCAAATGCTTGAGCGATACGTGGAATACGTAGTTTATGTAACTGTGGCTTAAAGATTACTAAAAATAACCGAATGAAAATTAATAAAGATAGATTACAAAGCTTTTTTCTTCCTACCCAAGCTGATGGTCTAGAGAGACCATATCAGCGTAACCTTAACTAGTAGGTGAGCTCACGGGGCCCAAACCTGACGATACTGCTAACACGAACCCTAGCAAGAGCCATGCTTCGCAGAATCCACCACCGAATCGGAAAAGCGACCCACCGAGAAGATCCGGCGAGAAATTCAGTGGGCTTACAAAGCTTATAATTTCTCGCTGCATAGGAAATTTTTGGGACAAAAGGCAATACGAAAATTTGTTCTCTGATAAACCTAAAACGAATGAAAATGTAAACCAGCAAAATTTCGCCCAAATAGTGCTCTGTGGTATACGTATCTAATGATATAACAGAATATTTAGAACCCAAAATGAAGGCATTATCGGGTAGCTGTGTTGAAGGTTCAGAAAATGTTAGTAATATGACTGTGTGCTTAGAATAGCACTACCTCATAGATTTAAGATTCTGTTATTCTAAGTCGCGGGAAGAGTTCTCGTGTGTATCGTAAGAGGCGACTTTCAAATCACAGGAGAATGGTCAGGAGCGATCTCTGAGTGCTATACCATTGTATTGAAATTGCCAACCGGCAGTTATTGGTGGCCGAGCGGTTCGCCCATATGGGTACCACTGCCCTACGTTTCTTTAATACATTGTATTTTGGATTTTGCATTGCATCCGAAACTAGATACTAGGTACAAAAATAGCCTTTGTTGTCACGGTAACACGGAGAGCGACTGCCATTGCGGGTTCAATGTCTATGAACTGATGAACTGATAAACTGGTGTCTAATGAAAACTATTATGCAAGTATTTAGGTGTGTCGTTTATATCTGTTTTCTGCATCGGCTATGATTAATTTGCACCTTAGGCACTACTGTATAATACTATAGTCACATGAAACATCCAAGCGTAATAAACTCATGTTACAGAATCGGAAAGAACGAATGTCAATAAAAAAATATTAGTGATCAAATTCGAGCACAAAAATGATTCCAGAAATGGAAATGGAAGACGTTTCCGAAAGTAATTCCTGACCGAAAGAATTATCGTCGGTCGAACGCTACGCATGAAAGTAAAATAACAATTAAATGTGCATCAAACGTATGCTACGCACCTTTGAAGCGAAACGGACACACTTTTTTGTAATAGTACAACACATAATCAATTATGTACTTTAGACGATCCACAAACGGAATAATATCGTGGAGAACGACAGACTTCATACAGTTAGTGGCTCAGAACATGCATGGTAAAGAACTTGACGCAAAAAATCATGCACATATCGCGGGCCTTGGTCAGTGCAGCGTGTCGGCAAATAAAAGTCCGCCACGAGCTATCTTTGGCCTCATTATAGAAGTGGCTGCCGATGAGGGTGGTGAAGTGACCCACAAATGGATTGACCCAGTGTATAGTGCCAGTGCAGTGACATGATGAGTCCGTTAGTACTTTTGCTTGCTTTCGTTCTGGTCGGCGACGTAAGGGCCATTGTGGAACTGGACTGTAACGATAATGCAACATGCATCGAACAGATCCCAAAGCAACTGATCGTGAATTTGAGACAGAAGAAGGCTGTAAAGATCTTCGACCTGATAACAATCGAACCGTTGGCGACAAGGCAGGCAAGATCGAGCCAGGATCTGTGGACGAGATTCCTTGAGAATCATGCCGTTAGCTTCGATTTGCTGGACTACACGTTCCAGATAACTCCTCGTGAAGACAATACTAACGCGTTGAATTTTGAGGTTTTCGAGAGCAGAACTGCTAAGGGTGAGCAACTTTTTTCATTTGTTGATATGGTCAATTATCTGGATTGTAATTTGTGCCAATGGAATGAGATTTATCATGAATCTTAGCATTCATTTAGAAATCATTTGAATTGATGACCTCTTTGTTGGTAAATAGTACAATTAAAATAAGCCTGCCAATGTTCTTCTATAGTTAAATATAAATCCTTAGATAATTTAAATATTGAACTCTGAGACGAAAGTGTTTCTACATATTATACATGAAAAAAAAAAAACATATATTTTCGTTCTATTTATACAAGTATAGAATCGAAATTACCCAATTTGTTTTACGGATATTCTCTTTCTACCTAAAGCTACATTTTTTGTATTACGAGTAATCACTGACACTTCTTACATACGGTGAATATTACAGATTGGAAAAATATCTAATTTATTTTTCCTGTCTATATCAAAGTCATCAAAGTGCGTAAAAATTAGGAAATGCTTACTTTATTTACACCGTACTGGTTGGTTTTGGCGCAGCTTTTTAATTGCTTTATTCCTAAGTCAAATGAACGTGCTCATGACCTATCTGGGATTAAGTGGTTATCGCACCCATAGAGATCAACAACCTACCCTTACCTACACGTCATTCTTCATGAGATTGTTAACCTTTCTATTTCCACTTCAATTCATGCGTTCCTACTTGATGGAGATAATAGTCGTAAATATGGCTGGGCTTTCCTTGATTATCCTGCACCAAATTGTTCCAAATATTTAGGTTCTTTCTTCTTATTTGTGCCTAAATGTCTGCTATTTTTCGTGAATCAATTTACAAACCGCTCCTAGGTAAATTAGTTTATAATTAATTTTCTCTGCGGCGCATTAATTGTTGCACTCTAGCAATTTCAATGCATCGCTGGTTACGGTACGTGGTTGGTTGCATCTCCATTATTTCCTTATAAGGCATCGTGTGTATTGTTAATATAATATTCAGCTTTATTTTTTGACAGATAATTCGAATTTTAGAAACATTTAACAAAGAATTGTTTTGAATTTAGTAGTAGTATTTTGTAATGTTTTTTGGTCAAACTAGTTTATATTGGATCTCAGTAGCATTTTGATTAAATCTAATCGTAACTGTCTGGAAACTGGTAAGGATATAGTGTGTACTGTGTTTTGTGTTAATTTAGGTGGAGTTAGGAAACTCTGAGTCTTGGATCAGTTTGGTTCGAACTGTGTTTTGCATGATCATTTTGAGTTATCATCCCTACTTCTTCGAGCCATTGTGCTTAAGTAACGTAAGTTATGGAATCATTTTGACCATTATGATCCGGCTCTGGAATAAAATACCCTCCTTGACTGCTATGGCATGTTCGCTTTTTCAAACGACGTTTATACAGCGTCATCAGCAGTAAGGGGCTGCTTGATTGGGTTGAAATTACTGGTGTCTACGAGTGACCGAGCCCACTCACCATCAGGTGGGTCGTATGCAAATCTGCAATTAAAACCATTAAGACATGGATTGATTTTACTGGCGGTAGGACCTCTTGTGAGCCCGCGTGGGTGGGTACCACCACCCTGCCTATTTCTACCGTGAAGCAGTAATGCGTTTCGGTTTGAAGGATGGGGCAGTCGTTGTAACTATACTTGAGACCTTAGAACTTATATCTCAAAGTGGGTGGCGCATTTACGTTGTGGATGTCTATGGGCTTCAATATCCACTTAACACCAGGTTTTTTTTTATTGCTTAGATGGGTGGGCGAGCCTACAGCCCACCTGGTGTAAAGTGGTTACTGGAACCCATGGACATCTACAACGTAAATGTGCCACCCGCCTTGAGATATAAGTTCTAAGGTCTCAGTATGGTTACAACGGCTGCCCCACCCTTCAAACCGAAACGCATTACTGCTTCACGGCAGAAATGGGCAGGGTGGTGTTACCTACTCGTGCGCACTCACAGGAGGTCCTACTACCGTTAATTATGTAAATTATAATTTTGCGGGTTTGATTTTTATTACATGATGTTATTCACCGTGGAAGTCAATCGTGAACATTTGTTAAGTACGTATTTCATTAGAAAAATTGATACCCGCCTGCGAGAATCGAACACCGTTACATCGCTAGATACGAATGCACCGGACGTCTTATCCTATCCTATTTCTGAGACTACTGACTGAGACTATACTATACTGAGACCTTAAAAATCATGTCTCAAGGTGGGTGGCGCATTACGTCGTAGATGTCTATGGGCTCCAGTAACCACTGAACACCAGGTGGGCTGCGAATTCGTCCATCCTTCTATGCCATAAAAAAAAAGGCAAGGTTATGGTATCTACCCATACGAGCTCATCAAATGCCCTAATATCAGCCCATTGTGACAAAATATACATTTTAAAAAGTAATTGATATAGAGCGGTTACGTAACGGACAAAAATAACTATTAATGTTTTAGAGAGCTCTGAGGAATTGTTCGAGATGATACCGTCATCTCGTTTTTACCATCGCACCGTCCGCAACCGGAGTAGAGTTCATCCATACTACCTGGAGCCACTGCAGTCATCCACAGTGCGTTTCCAGAGGTATTTTTTGTCACGTACCATCCGGCTATGGAATGAGCTCCCCTCCACGGTGTTTCCCGAGCGCTATGACATGTCCTTCTTCAAACGAGGCTTGTGGAGAGTATTAAGCGGTAGGCAGCGGCTTGGCTCTGGCGACGGTAACTACTCACCATCAGGTGTGCCGTATGCTCGTCTGCCTACAAGGGCAATAAAAAAAATTAGTATACTTCATGATCATTACTAATGTATAAAGTCTCTCTGACGTCGAAAATGATAAGCATCTAACAGACAAAGTGGACAATGCCCGTGAAAGCAATTCCGATGTCTGAATTCTTGATTTTTACCTTTGATCCCTTTCGCGGATGGCTGATTTCAGTTTTACATAGTTTTACATGCAAATATCTTTTTTGGGTGGCAACTTAGATGGTGGTAGTAGGGAGGTTAGTCCATGAATTACCTAAGCCTTAAATAACCTAACTGAAGTTGATGAAGTTGGATGAAGAGATTTACACTGAGTCTGCACGATTCAGTAACCATTTTTTTCTTGCTTAATCTGTTGGACGAGCTCACGACCCACTTGGTGTTAAGTGATTACCGAAGCCCATAGACATCTACAACATAAATGCCGCCACCCACCTTGAAATTCGAGTTCTAAGGTCTGAAACGCATTACACGGCAGAAATAAGCAGAGCGGTACTACCTACCCGTGCGGACTTAACATTAAAAATTAACGCCTTAACATCTATAAGCTTTTATACTCAACAATGTTCATAATAATAGTTTCCTTTCGTAATTACGATCCAAAAATGGCATTATTGACCCAGCACAGCTTAGAACATTGACTCTATGTTCACAAGACGAATATACCACAGATCCGCATTCAGTTATCGTCATTAACTGTTAATATCTGTCTACGTAAAGTGAGAAATGTAACAAAGAAAATAATGTAAGAACGCAGTGAGAATGAGACTTAAGGAAAATGTAATGCAATGAAAGTAAATATAAAAGAAAAAGAAGTACAAATTGGTACAAATGGCACAAAAGTACAAAGGAAATAATATGCAATAAAAATAGTAATTGAATGAAACGCAAATCTAATATACAATTTCAAATATTGTATACCAAAAAAAAAACAGAAAACAAGCCAAAAAGCCTTAAAAATGTCCCTGACACTGACTCGATAGGGGAAGGCGCTACTAAAAATATCTGTCTACGAAACCACAGAGTTATAAATTATGCGTAAATTAAAAGCGTGCAGCACGCAATGATCAAGCAGTCTGAAAAAAGTTGTTGGCATACTTGTTGCTCTGTGGCAGCTTAGGGAAAACGTTTTTTAAGGCGGATGTTAAATTCCTCTTAGAGAAATAAGAAAAATCTTATAGTCCACTGCGTGCCAAGTGATTAGCGGACACGAAATGTGGCTGCTGACTTTAAGTATAGATATCAAACCAATTTACGTTTAATTTGTTTTTTTTATTTTTATTTACGTGAAATAATGTCTTAGAAATCTTGAACAACTTCTTGGCAGCGAAATAATTCAATACCCGACAGGCAGTATGCCTTTGAAGAGTTTGTTGGCTTCCGTACACCTGACTTCTTCAAGTAGGGCATTGAAGTATTAGCGTTGTGTTGGCAGAGATATACCTTTTTTATCCTACCTATTCTAGTAACTTCGAGGGGTTATTCTAGATTCACCGAGCTAGTAGGTGAGCTCACGGGGCTCAAACCGGAAGTATTGCCAACACTGGCTCTAGCAAGTGCTTCGCGGAATCTACCACCGGATCGGAATCGAGACCCACTGAGAAGATCCGGCCAGAAACTCAGAGGGCAAGCGACGGGTTCGAGGGAGAGAATATAAATCCTACAGCCAAAGTTTATCACAGTCTTGTAATTTCCAAACTCGCCCAATGAGGAAGTTTTGCAGTTACTAAATTACAATTACTAATTTCAAATTCCATTTCACATTAAAGCCTTAAAATTGGTTCAATAGAATTTCAATCTTTGTCGAAGATCAGCTCGAGGATCGCGAGCTTTTGTACTTTTGTTACAAAGCTTACGGCCACTTGTTTGAAGGAAGCTCGAGAAGTGAAATGTGTTGGAAGGGCTTAATTTGTTTGTACAAATCATTTATTGCGATAGGTAACGCTTTTACTGCGCACCTGGTTTGCTAATGACCATGAAACTCTACGACTTATCTATTTGCAAGACTCGTTTTTTTCAAAAGCAATAATAGATCAGTCGGACAGTTAGGCATTTAAAATTGAAGGCTGTTTAAGATTCATTACACTTCGTTTAAAAGGGTCTTAAACAAGTCACACTGACAGCCTTCCTGACCAAAAACAGTAATAAAGAAGTCCTTTACGTGACAGAGACCTGGGTCAATACGTGACTGATCGTTACTGGTTCAAATAGTTGGGGCTATATTTTGGGTATTCGTCTCTGGAAAGCAGTACTTTAATTCTATTTTTAAGTTTTCAAGTCTCACGTATCAAGTATCATGTGTTAACGCGTAATTGGCGCAATATAGGAATACCATTTTGTTCCAATACTTTATATCGCCTTAAGTTCAGATACGAATTCTAAGATAGAAATCGTAATTAACTTATATAACAGCTTGCTCATCCTCGATACCGATGTGTGCTGCTGTGCAGTAGATTTAATATGAAAGTTAAGAACTATCGGGGTGTCAGATGGCGTCTGCAGATGCGGACCTACATAACGTTCTATCCACAACAAAAGGTTTTCGATTTGATTTTATCTAGATGACAATATCATTCCTTCGATGTGGAAGATGTGAATGCAGATGTTTTATTTGGCAATAATTAATTTGGTTCGAAAGTTATTCCAATACCTCACATGGATCGTTGAATTTCATTAGGGCGTAATAAATATTTCGGGGAATTCCCGGAGGTGCTTTAACGATCATTTTATCGACTGACGACTTTCATTAGTTGCTATCACGCCTGTGAGTAGCCCTTGCATACGGTGTAAAGACTGATTATCAACTAGTGAATACGAATCAGTAAATTGGCTGAGAATTTGTGAGAGCATCTCCGATTTTGGTAATATCGCAACTTTCATAGCAATAAACATTGATATATAATAAACGGAGTGACGAGAGATAAATTAATGGTCGCATTTGCTTAAATTATAGATGTTTCGGATCAGACTTCGAAGAAATCTAGCAGTAAAGCAGAGGAAGACAAAGAAGAGGATAAATCTCCGAAATTAGTTATCAGTAAGTTTTTTGACACTATTTACCGTTATTAATTCGTAACGCCCTGTACACGCTTGGCGTCGCACCGTGGAGAGCGCGATGAGGGCTGGTGGCATGACCTGGAGTGATTTTAAGGAGCATGCGCAAGACCAAGGTCAAGTGAAGGAGAACTTGTGAGGGCCCTATGTACCAATGGGGTACATGAGGACTACAACAACAAAAATATTTACCGTTGCGACGTGGTCGTGCCTACACCTTTTAAAACATTACAAGCCTCAAAAGGGCTTCAGTAAACAAAGTCAATTACTTTATGGTAGATTAGGTAGCGTGCCTTTGAGTTGAAAAAACAAAATTTTCCCACAACCGATTATTCAAATACAAACAAAAACAAATGGAGAACCAACCATTGAACCCGGAACACGTGTAAATGTTACGGCTGTGTCTTTGACAACGGAAAATGTAGTTCTTATGTAAAGAAATATCAAAGAAAATGAAATATTAATTACGTATTTCTGAGGAACCGATAAATATAGGGAATGGTAAATTGTAATACGAATGTTTTTCTGAACCAATCAAAGACTTTTGTTGTTTCATTTAAAAAAATATATAAAAAAAAACTGTTTAAGGGCAATTTACTCTCAAAATTTACATTATTTACTTCCTACATGTAAACTACAATAAGTCATCGTCATACGTAATGAACTGCCCATTACGACCCTCCCCATATATTACTGGTAGTAGGACCTCTTGTGAGTCCGCGCGGGTAGGTACCACCGCCCTACCTATTTCTGCCGTGAAGCAGTAATGCGTTTCGGTTTGAAGGGTGGGGCAGTCGTTGTAACTATACTGAGATCTTAGAACTTATATCTCAAGGTGGGTGGCGCATTTACGTTGTAGATGTCCATGGGCTCCAGTAACCATTTAACACCACGTGGGCTGTGAGCTCGTCCAACTATCTAAGCAATAAAAAAAAAACATGCCCAGCTTCAAACGAGGTTCGAAAATTAATCTTATTCTTAGGGGTCCTTAGGGGTAATGTTTCTTCAGCTCAGGGTGTGGCGTCGAAATTCCCTGGCGTCGCTTGATTTGCGGCGAGCACTGACTATACTGTGACCCTGGCATTGTTTACGTCCATGAGTGATGGTAGCCATTCACCATTATGTGGATCGTCTGCTAACAAGGCAAAAAAACTATGGCAGCATTAACTGCGTATCAAAAGGGGTCATGTAACTATCAGTCATCATGGTAATGAAAAAAGATCGAATGTCCTAATAATAGTTTGTTTGATTAAAATTCAAAACCAGCAACACCGATCAGCTCGACCCTGGTCACGGTCCTCGTCGCACCCGTCGCTTGCGACGAAGGGCTCTTGACGAGCGAATTAACTCATAGACACAGCTCACTGAGTTTCTCGCCGGACCCTCTCAGTGGGTCGCGTTTCCGATCTGGTGGTAGATTCTGCGAAGCGCTGCTCTCACTAGGGTCAGTGTTAGCAACACTCCGGTTTGAGCCCCGTGAGCTCACCTACACAGACGTTAGGGCGAAGCTTCTCAAGGCTATCAGCATAGGTAAAAAAAAGCTCAATCCGCAAATATTTTACTTCACCAACAAATCATTAGCTACAGTTTATCACCAAGAAACAACCCCTCAAAATCCAAAGTTCAATAAACATTTATGATTTTACTGTTACCGATGTAAATAAATTTTCATACATCGATGGCTGAGCCACTCATAGCGGGAGCTGTTTTTTTTTTGTCAAGCAATAAATAATAAGTAAAGGTACCGTTGGATTGTTAACGAAATGAGATAGGTCTGAAATTGGGGAGCAAAGTTACCAGTAATGAATCATATTCTGAACAAAGTCTGGAACTGAAGTCTAGAAAGAGTCTCCTTTTATGTGTAAGGGACAGCACAATGTCCCCTAGAAGGTTCCCGCGCCTAGGCGGCACCCGAGGTATGTAGGACTGGATGGTCCGCACATTTTGGGAGCAGACCGTGGGACCAAGGATGGTATTTAGGACCCTACAGACTAACCGAAACTCCTGCACTTTAGCCAAATTGTCCGATCCCCCTCAGGTCAAAACCAAGGCGGGGTAACCGTGTTACCGCGGTAAATACTACAACTAGACTCCCAAACGAGGACAAGGCTCTCGAACGTCAGCCGTCTCGTTATGGTAGTCCGTCAGGTTGCCCAGGCAGTGGCACTAGTAGCTTGGGATACCCCGCCAGGTCATAGCAAGCGTTTTTTTTTCTGGCAGGGGGCCGAGCCTCATGTGAGGCTTCCGCGCCTATAACCGACCGCGAGTCCAAGGATGTTTAAGGGCCCTACCCACCAAACGACTCCCCTTGTACTTTCTCACCGGCCCCAGGCGGTGCCGCTGGTGTGCCAATCGAAAAACCTTGAAACTACCTTAAAACCTTTACCGAAATATTTCATTTGTTTCATTCAATCAATATGATACGTAGACGACCACCATTAATTAAACTTAAAGCTACCCCAAGAAAACAAGTATCGGTAATTTATGATTAAATAGATATGATAGAATGTGACTATTCTGAGTGAGACCTTAGAACTTATATCTCAAGGTGTATGGCGCATTTACGTTATAGATGTCTATGGGCTCCAGTAACCACTTAACATCAGGTGGGCTGTGAGCTCGTCCACACACATAAGCAATAAAAAAAAAAAAAAACGAGGTGTCAAATATGTTCTTATTCCTTGCGTATAAGTACTCCTCACTCGAAGGCGCGGTAAGTTAAAAGCCAGTATCGCTACGTATGTCGTGCGACAGCAACCTTACAATATCGGTAAACAAGTCTTTTGATGTTTGCGCGTTTACGATCGGAATAGACAGGAGACCGTAAAAATCGGCGACACTTTGTTTTTCATAGACACCGGCGCTCACAAAACAATATTAGTTCATAAAATAATATTTTTCTGTACAATTTTCTTGTATAGTTATGAGGTGTCGAGATTAGCGGTAGGCAGCGGCTTGGTTCTGCCCCTGGCATTGCTGAAGTCCATGGGCGACGGTAACCACTCACCTCAGGTGGGCCGTATGCTCGTCTGCCTACAAGGGCAATAAAAAAAAAATAGCAATGCTAGTGTTTTCATTTTAAGCAAAGAGAATGTTCGTGGAATGAAGGAAGCTTGAAGTCCTTGTAGGTTCCGTTAAAAACTACAAAGGATTTATTTATCGGTATATACCTCATTAATTTCACTTTTTTTAATTGTTTGAATTGGTGAATGAGCACAGGGCTTACGTGATGGTACGTGATTACGGAAAAACAATCATTAAAATTCTCCTGGTCAATCAGCAAATATATTTTACCCTTGTAACTCACCAATGTCATACTCTTGGTAAAGAATGTGTATATTTGATTACTGCTCAGTGGAAGTGGGCTTTATATTAGCATCCATCCAGTACGCACTTTTATTTCATAGACCTATAAATTTGCTTCAGCGACTTCTTTTTTTTATCTAACAGAAAAGCTACGTACGATATATAACTACAGGTTTTTGTCGTAACCGTAAAGGTTTTGCCTCAAGCTGTCACGTAATTGGCTTAGTATAGACCAATAAAGTTAGTGTAGTATTTCAAAGATTTTTGATGAAGCCGGTTTGGGTCACATGACTAAAAAAAAAATTGTCATAATATTTGATGAGCCACAGCGTTTATAAAACTCATTTATATGAACTTGGTCAGTAGACTGCTAGGTCTTTGCCTTAATAACACATATAAGAATTTTTTTTAATCATTGGTAACTGGCAAAACTTATCAACATAATACGTGTCTTCTAAAAAGCAACAATATAATGATGACTTTGCAAATTGGCACATCAGTGTGCATCGTAAGAGTGTTCACAATTAGCAGATAGTCGGTAGCAAGTATTTACAAAGCTACCTCTCTCTGAGCTCAAAAGCTGAAATATAACGTAAGGTATAAGTTCTGTGGAAATAATAATAAATAACTGGGATTACGTACGATCATCCGGCACCAATTTAGGATTTCCTATGTTATAGGAACCTGAAATGGATAGTCGTGTCGTCGGCGAATAAAGCTAACTGGGTCGGCGGCGACCGGGGAATATTGTTGACGATAATTCTAACTATATAATTCGCTTCTTCCGCTTCGCTTCAGGTGATACGTTCGCTGTTCCGATTACTAGCTGACTGCGTGCCATCTCTGCAACGATTTCATAGTCGATACGACATCCCTAGAATTGCCGAGAACATTCCGCACAAGTCGAGTATTTCCCATGCGTGTTTCCGCTATCTGACAATAGATGGCGTTGTACTTCTTGAGCGTTCTGGATGTTACTAGATGCTTTGATATTCGTTATTCTCACCGGCGTAACAGTGCTTATATATATTTAAATACATACCTATATAGATAACAAATATCCAGACAAAGAGTAAACAAATCTGTGTATCACACAATATTTGTATGATGTTGGGAATCGAACCCACGAACCTCGGCACAACAATCAGGGATGCTCACTATTGAATCGCCGAGTTAAGCACCGTGTTATGAGAAAATCGTGGCCGTCAAATTGAAATAATGGACGCATTCTTTCATCATCAACGCTCTAGTTATTATTATTATGTCCTGTTTCTGTTGTTCAAATTATTATTTTCTTTTTCATTTCACAAAAAAACCTAACTTTGTGTTTTATTTGATAGGCAAAACGTAATGGCAGATTTTATTTCGATACAAAATAATATGCTAGAATATATTCACGTGAATCACTTGCTCAAAGATCAAAGTCTATATTTTCCATTTCTTCGTCCATGATAAGCTCACAGATGAGCTCCACCAAATTTCGGACAGCGGTAGGCTGCGATTTGGCTCTGCCCCTGGCATTGCTGAAGTCCATGGGCGACGGTAACCGCTCACCATCAGGTCGGCCGTATGCTCGTCTGCCTAAAAGGGCAACAAAAAAAAACACGTGTGGCACTCGGAGACTGCCACGTTAAAGCTATTGCATAGCATTTTTTATCCACTTATGCAATTATAAATCGACAATAATAATTTAATATTAAAATAACAATAAAATAAGACCACGCTATGTTTATAAACATTAGAAACATTAACTGTCCCCTTCACACTCATAACCTAGACCGCGCGAGGGAGAGATGGGCAGACTTTTCATGATGCTCATGCAGTACGACGTCACGCCGCGCGCTTATTCACAAACACTACACAAGCGCATCGTGTGAATGGGTTGAACGCGAGCTACATAGTAGGCGTAGTGGGGGTGTCAGATTATTTTCGTTACGGAATTTCTTGGTTCAGTCGCAGCGGTCAAAGCCCGCGATAAAATCTATGCTATAGCTTAAAAAAAAAAACAAAAAAAAACACTTTTTACATTCAATAATTTCAATACGAAAAACATTTTCCTTTAAAATTTTCCCCTCACATATTCATACAGAGCATCGAAAGCACCTCTCCCAGAGCCCTCGTAAACACTAAACCATTTTATCTACAGCTCCCTCAGGAATTCGTTACCATAATGCTTGATTTAGACAGCTGAATCAAAACGAAGGGGTACAATGGAAATACTTGGTTAGCACAACTCTATGGGTTCGACTTCTTTATCTGAGTAGCGGAATCTTCAAACGCAATTATAACCAGCTTCAATTTTTTTTATTGCTATGTTGTGTAGATAGACTTAAAGCCCACCTGGTCTTAAGTGGTTACTGGAGCCCATAGGCATCTACAGCGTAAATGTGCCACACACCTTGAGATAAATAAGTTCTAAGGTCTCAGTATAGTTACAACGGCTGCCCCACCATTCAAACCGAAACGCATTACTGCTTCACGGCAGAAGGCAGGGCGATGGTACCTACCCGTGCGGATTCACAAGACGCCCTATCCCCAGCTATTAGGAAAATTATAATATTTCATATTTAATTATGAAAATCGTGTGTGAAAATCGTGTTCACTCGAAAAACTACCTGTCTGCAGGATTCGACCGCTGGCACAGTCGCATCCCTAGATACAAATGCACCGGGCGTCTTATCCTTTAGGCCACTAAGACTTCAATTTGACGAATAACGTTAAAATTTGCCCGAGTGTCACCAATCACGATTTCATAATTTTCAGGATTCCAATCAGGAGAAAGGATTTTTTCATGATTTCAACAATATTTTCTTATTTTAGTAATAATAAAACGTTTCGTAATATTGCCTCTTTGATTACTACATAAGTTTATTAATTATTTATCAATTATATTTATATTTCGCGTTATGCATTAATTTGGTCAGACCAAAAAAAAAGGCAAGGGAAATTATTTCGCATCGGTTTTCATTCGGTTTTTGTGAGCCATACACAGATAATTGAAACTAATTTTGTTTCTAATTGCGTCAGACTACTCAGACAATGACAAATAACCTTTTTCGTCCGTGAAAACGACGAAAACTGTGAGGTCTTAGAAAAGAATCGGTAGGCAGCGGCTTGTCTCTGCCCCTGGCATGGCTGAAGTCCATGGGCGACGGTAACCATTCACCATCAGGTGGGCCGTATGCTCGTCTGCCTACAAGGGCAATAAAAAAAATGAAATGAAAATAATAAAAACGGGAATCGAGCCTTAAAAGGATTCTTAATTATAACATTTTTTTTACTAATTCCAATATAGCATCTATACTAATATATAAATCTACAGTGATTTTTACGGATGTTCCGTTATAACTACTGAACCATGCATCCGATTGACTTGAAACTTGGTATCCATGTAGAAAATACATGTACTTAATGGATAGGCTAATATTTATATGAGTGTTGGACTCCCTACTCCAGTTGCGGGGGCGTTAATGATGAGAATCTTTGTGTGGGTGAGAAAAAATGATGCTAATTTTAAATGCCCAGCGAAGCTGACAGGTACAGCTAGTAAGCATATAATAATTTACAAATCGTAACTGATGTGATTAGTGGTTTATATTTCGATAAATTATCGAACTTTTCCCGCAAATACCAAAAACAGCTATCAGTACAAATTTACGAACCTCAATTTCACCGCAGACCGCGCGTTCTATTTAATTAATTAGTAAACTCTTATTACTATTATTAACTCCTCCACGTTAGTAATAGGTTATTAGTGTAATTTTTTAATTTTATTATTTATTTGTATATTGTAAATAAAATTATTTCCTTGCATTATAAGTTGAATTAGTTTTTGTTATCGTGTTGTTTTGTCGTATAGTTGTAAGGAACATAACGTACAAATTCAGCACTTTATTTTTTTTGGTCGTGCGCACATAGCTTATGTTGCAAGCCAGATTTTGTTTCTTTTTACTTGTGTTTTATGTATATTTTTAGCTTGTGATGTCTATTGTGTGCCTGATAAATAAAAAAATACCATTAATTTCTATTTTATTAACAGAAAGAAAGCATAAGAAGAAAGTGATGCAAGTCCTCATCCCTATGCTCTTCGGTATGAAATCAGCCGGCGCTGTCATATTTGCCTTCACCGTGGTGGCTGTGCTCACCATCAAAGCATTCATAGCCAGCAAACTGGCGCTAATGGTCACCGTCGGAATGGCTCTGAAAAAACTCTACGACTCCTACGGTGTAGGGTGAGTGTTTTTCCCAACTAAGGGACTATATTCATAAATATTGCTCACATAAAATTGAATAAAATATATATGAAAGTAGATAGCACTAACCTTATTGCTCTTATAGTGGTCAGAATATAAAGTTGAATTTAAAATTTAATTGGAACCTCGTCGGAATTTACTTGGCAATAAAAAATTATATGCTTAGGCAAGCTATGTCAAGTAACATCAAAAGGACTTTTAATGAGCAGTAGGAAAAAGCTTGGTTGACCATCAAGAGCCATGGACGATCACCATCTGATGAGCCGTACGCTTGTCACGTGAATTTACTTTTAAATTACAATATTTTCATACTATTGTTAATATACAGAGTATAAAGAGAATGTTTTGTAGTAAATATGATATCGCAGAATTTGGACACATCGATTATAATATACTTGCAAAAAGTTATGTGCTCATCTACTTTCATATTAAAAAATATAAATTAATTATCAAATAATGGGGTAGATAGAAAAACACAAACCTTGATTTAAAATATCTGAATGATTACTTTTTCAACATACACAGCTTATTAGTGTTCGTGGACTGCATGAGATGAATCTCATCATTACATGAAAATAATTTTTGAAATCACGTGATCAAATGTGGTCAGAGCTATAAATAATAATAAATAAATAAATATTTACTAACAATCACGCCACGTTAACTGGTCCCGTGATAAGTTCGTAAAGAGCTTGTGTTACAGGTACCAGATAACGGAAATAAATGTAAGATTTTTATTATACACATACATATATTTAATGTACATCCATAACCCTGGAAAATACATTTATATTTATCATAAAAATATCATCCCTTGGCGGGATTCGAACCCGCGACCCTCTTATGTAGTGACCATGTCACTTACCACTACACCAGACGGCCGTTAAAGTTACTAATGAATTTATAGTGAATTGGCATTTTGTGGCAAAAACAAGCATAAAATTAAAGCAGCTTTGTATCAAATGAAATTCGCTATGTAAATACAAGAATACATTTACTCTGAATTTAATTTTCGGAGCTTCTGAAATCGTCTCAAGAAACTAATTTCGTAAATAACTTATTATCAGCAAGCGATCTAAGTTGTAAAGCTGAATTTAATAAAAGTTCATTTCAAGAATCCTTTAGTTTTATGTGAGTTTTATACAAATTGTGTAAAGCAAAATCTACACAAGCGAGTCGTAAAACATTAAGTGACTTTATCAGACTGATGGAACCGAGAGCTTCACTTTGTCGCTGAAGCTTCAATCTCTAACAAAGCTTAAAGATTCTAGACGCACGACGTAGAAAGTTGTGCTCGGAGGTTCCCTACGTGATCGAAGTAGAAGTGAGAAGGTTTTTTTTATTTATTGCCCTTGTAGGCAGACGAGCATACGGCCCACCTGATGGTGAGTGGTTACCGTCGCCCATGGACTTCAGCAATGCCAGGGGCAGAGCCAAGCCGCTGCCTATCGCATAAAGGTCTGCTACTGGCGTAGCTTATAACAAAATAGCAACGGCACGGCGCGAATTCCAAAACCGATATCCAGGGGTGATATTTTTCATAACCAATCCACAAATTACATGTGCTGATTGCGAGGAACCTTCTGCTTACCGTGGCATCGCTAGTTAATTAAGGATCATGGCTAGCAATAGACTTCCATAGATTATTGCATAATGTCCGGCTTAATGCCATAACTTACGATATGAATATCCTGCAGACGGTTCGATACAATGACATGACGAATCCTCACCACTGGATGTATTTAATTTAATAAATACGCTTTTATTAGCTACAGACGTATGTATGTTGGTATGTAACGGAATCTTTGAACATGATTTTGACCCCCTTCAAAACGTCGGATTAACTCAAAATTTGGTTTACTTATTAAGGAACGATGACAATTCAATTTAAAAAAAAAAAAACAAAATTCAATAAATTGAAATTCAACAAATAAATTAAATTATGAACCGATATGAGTAGAATATTTTAATAATATCCTGAAAAGCACCCCACACTTTTTTACAATAAAATCATTTTTTCTTACACTATTTTTAATTCAAATTAATTAAATTTTATTTCCTATTTTTTAGTTGGTATTTATATAAAAGCGTATTTTGTTAGTTTTTTTAAACTATTTTTTTTTTTAAACTAATGTAAATAGACAGGCAAAATATAGTATATACGAAGTAACACAGTATATACGAAGAGTATAGAATAATGATCATTCGGTATATAATATATATTCAGTATATATTAGTATATATTACTATCTAACTCTCGATTATACTTTTTGTGTTTGTGTTTTTCTATGTACGTTTTACGAGTGTATGATCTTCTTTGGACACTAGTGTTTAAATAAACTGTCAATGTGACGTCTAATGACAGAAGACAATGACAATGACACGATCACGTGACTGACGCACAAGTATTATTGATACTCAATGCTCTTGGTAGATGACAAAAATAGTTTTTGGGTTTTTTGTAGAGTTACCTGTATGAATATTTTATTAGCATAGTTATTATTTATAAACAAGCACATTTCTTTATCCTCATTTCCAAACAACAAATTTGAATTTATGTTATATGATGGGTTCGGGAAACGTAGATGACTAGATAAAGGCTAAAAAAATTTTTTTTATCTATTCGAGGACCACAAAAAAGATATTGCGAATCTTCTCGCCGAGTGAAATGAGTTTCGACGTAATTGCTCTCCCTTTTTCTCAAATTCTCATTTTTTTCTCTCACCTGATAATTAGTTAAAATCCAATATGGTGGATGACCTCCTGAGCTGAGCCAGTCTTCGCCCACTTGCCCTGGGGAAGCTGAAAAGGAATTTAGGCCATCAACAATCTCCAAAAAAAGGGAAGGAAACTCAACAAGATAGTAACGGAGAGGGAGCCTCTTCAATGAGGTCTCATGAACTTACCCTCTATTGAAACCTGATCAATAGACTGTGCTCTTATTCAGTGAAAACAAAATGGGAAGAATCAAGAAACCATAGCTCCTAAAACGTCAGTTACAATTTGCCAGTGCTTATTATTTTTAAAAGAAAATGTCGAGATGTCTGAGAATTAACGTTAATTGCTTTACGAGAGTCGAATTTGCTGAATGTCGTGTTGTCTTGCAATTCAGATGATTTTTCCTGTTATTTTCATGTTCAATTTAAAACAATTTTTGTATTTTTTTTTGTTAATTTACCTTTGAGACCAAAAGCTTAGAAGAGATACATACTTGAATTCTGTCTTAAAATAATTTAATAACAAGACTCTAGAATTTAGTTAAATATTTAGAATCCTAGACTAGATTTAATTTAGACATTATAGTAGAAACAGCAATAATGTCTGCCTCTGCAAGTACAGACTTAATGTCGTAGACAAATATCTATGGGATTAATATGAGTTGCTACTATCGCATAGTTACGCCGCCACATCATGCCGTTATAAAAATTGAGCTAATCTTATGAATTTTGTTATTTATTTTGAACCGACACGGTTTGGTATTTTCTACGTAGGACAACTGGTATATTATACAATTGAGACATAGGTTCTTCACGTCTCAAGATGGGTGGTGCATTCAACTTAGACTTCGGTACACCACACACCTATGGTCATGAGTTGATCTGTCCAGTTAGAATAGAGCTTTGAAAAGCTGCAAGAAAACCAGAACCGTGATTATCCCGGGCGGGGTCGTTAGCCGTTGTAGCAGTAGCTACGAAGTTTTATTCTCTTTGTAGAGATTTAACTTTATTTTGTACGATTTCAACTTTCTCAAGACTTCGAAAAACGCCTCGATAGGTATTTTAAGGCAAGAAAACAAAATCTAAATTATTTAAACAGACTTCAACACTTTGGCGTGTGAACGGTTAAGATAAAATAATGGAACATTTTGATTTCTGAAGCGTCTTTGTTGTCGGACTTAGAAATCTGTATATATAAAAATGAATTGCTTTTCGTTAGTCTCGCTAAAAACTCAAGAACGGCTGGACCGATTTGGCTAATTTTAATCTTGAATTATTTGTGGAAGCCCAGAGAAGGTTTAAAAGGTGGATAAATATGTAAATGCTCGGAATTAAATAAAAATAACAATTTTGTTTTTCCTTTGGTGTGTCTCCCGTCGGATGGATTCCTTTTGTTTGTTTTAAGTTTATTTTATACAAAAGCGTATGTCTTTTATTTATCGATTGAGGCACTATGTAGTCTGCCGGGTCAGTTTGTTTGTTTGTTTTATAATACAATTGGATTTAGTTGTATTGAGCTATTATTACTGCGCTGGCGCTATGACCTCCAAACGGGTCTTGGCCTCTGGCAATAAATACTGCCATTCATCCCGGCTTTACGCAATACCTTGTCAGTTCGGCGCTTGGAGCTCGCAGAGATCCCTTCCACAGCGACTGACCAGCAGTACTTGGGCCTCCCTAGGGAGTGGCGGCCTTTTGGTACACCCGCGTATACCCGATTCACAGCCCAATCCAGCTCCATCCCTACTAGAAGCCAGAGCCACTATTTGTTTTAATTGAGTTTCTTCTTCAGCATATTTCATATGCCTATTACTACAAATGAAATCATGATTGACCATAAAAAATTACTACAATCTGTAATTTACATTCGTTTTGAAGTATAAACAATAATTTCTTTCTTTTAAATCTATCTCTTGATATACAAGAACTGCTGTAACATGAAAACATTTTCGCAATATATTAATAATATATTGGCCCTTGCATCAATACTTCAGAAGGCTATACGAGCAGACTATTTCACTACAAACTTTGACTGAACGTAACGATACGACTGCAATAGAGTGACTCGACGTGATTTGAATAACTCACGAACTCAACAAAAAAATACATAAAACCATTTCCATTACAGTGTCGGATTACAGAACCATCCTTATCTGTATTCCCAATATCCGATCGATTTCCCAAGCGCCTCATCGCACGCGTACTCCATGAATGGAGTGAGCCCCCAATTTGCGTCCCCCGATATATACAATCCGACAGGGCTAGGGCAGTCTAATGTTCATGATATCCTTCAACACGACGCAAATGCTCAACCGTCGCAACAGGCGCCAACATTGCAACTAATCAACGGCACGCGAGCTGCTGAACGATGGGATGGTAAGTCCAAACTGGAGAGACTCTTCGATCCAATCATCAAAAAGTTTAGGAGAATTATTGAGCCGATAGCTACTGTTGTTTACGACGCTATGCCGGCCACTTTCAGAGGTCTAAATACTGCTACCACTAAAAGTGTTGAAGCTATTGAAGAAGTAAAAACTCCTAGAGAATTCTTACAGCCCCAACCTAGGTTAATAGCGCAAAGGAAAAACGCTCGTAAAAACAAACCCAAAAAGTTTAGTGGTATTAAAATATCTCTAAATAGATTAAAACATAACAAAGATTTAGACGATTATGTCAAAAACAAGAAATACAAGTTTAATTATCCTAACACGTATTACTATCCAAGGATCAAGCATACGGTAAACCCGAATCAATTTTTAGTTAAGCCCAATAACAGCAGATTAGTACCTTATAAAAGAAAAAGCTCTAACATGAATATCGCCTTGGTATCGAACGAGTCTGAATGGAGACCGATAGTAGCTCATAACATGAATTTTCCGGCTGTAACAACTTCAAGTAAGTCTAAAGCCCGAAAAAATGTTACACGTTTTAAAAGCAATAGAAGAACTAGACCCAAAAGAAGTCTAACTTTTAAAAACGAAAGTCAATCAATAATAGACAAAACTAATAAAATTGAAGGTAAAGGGTTCGTAGATTTTCTAAGTTTACTTTTCAGCGATGATCCAATATCGAAACTATTAGATGTAACAAAATACACAAAGTCGTACCTAAAAGAAACTTTGAAATCACAAGAACCTGAATACTATTCATACACGTACAGTATTTTGATGGCCACTTTAGATTTCATAGATGGAATGCTAGACGCAGAGAGTGCACTAGAGTCCGAATTATTTGAGAAGAAAAAAATAATCAAGAAAACTAACCAAAAAAGAAAAAAATCTACTTTTAAAAATCAAAATAATTGTACAGAAAAAAGCAATAGGACATAAGTAATTCATACCAAAGTTATATTATTATAACACATAATAATGTTGCATTTATTAGTATTTTTGTATTTGGTCAAATTTCAGTGCGGTGATGGTCAGAGATGGCTTACAAATTTTTGAAAAGAAGCGATTCAGTATCTAAGTAGTTATTATCGTCATGTGGATGTAAGATGACTCAATTTATTCACACACTTCCAACTTCTGTCTGGTGTGAACTTTAAAAACTGTCATGAGTAAAGTGCTACATCATTGGTATCTAGCATGGTTTTAATAAAATCATAAATTTCCGTTCTTTGTCTTAACCATTGTGTTCTTGTTATTGGTTCGCCATCCCTGATGTAAATATGTATAATCGATATAATCATCGTCTCCTTTGTAAATATTAATTAAATTTTGTACACTGGAATTTGGGTCTCAAAATACGTTTTGACAAAATCTTCTCCGATTATAATACGGTCTAAAATTTCGTCCTCTTAAATTACAATCTGTTTGTTTCGGACCAACTGTAGTAATTAAAACTCTCTTTGTTATTTTCGACCCAAATTCTGTAACGTCTAGTTACAAAAGATGTCACCTAATTCTGAACTGATTTATATTTGAGGATTACGAGCAAAATCACTCAGTTTTGAGATATTGGACTAATGTTTCATTTTTATTAAGCTTTGACAAAAAGCATTTTTTACTTTTTGAGATTGAGTAGGATATTTAACGACATCCTAATATATTTTAGAGGATCAAAAAGTCAGATGATTCGTAAACTGTAGTGATTTTGTTCAATATTTGACAAATTCGATTTATATTTTCAAAAATATTTATGCAAAAATCTTTATGTCACAGGCTACCGGAGACGTCCAATGTTCTATGGAAGCTCGCGAACTACTTCAGAATCCTTTTCGGGCTACCAACCCAGCCAATGAGCTATGCCCAGACGATGTCAATGCCAATGTACGCCTTCCCACAAACTTATAATCCGGTAACGATGCCCACAGGACAATAGAATAAATTGAACATACGGATATTAGGATCAAGTGGACTCTAACAATAATAGCTAAATGCCAAACCACCAGTGTTTCTTGATCCTTGACCTTTTATCTGGTGGTTTGGCATTTAGCTATGCTTGTAGAGCTGTGTCTTCATTTAATTAGACTTGCTCTGTAGTTTGTTTTTTTTGATTAAATCGAGACACAACTCTGAAGTCCCACCTCTTATGAAGACTGATTCTTGATTATTAAACAGCGCGAGCCCGTCGACTTTGTTATTATTTAATTTATTGTTTTTAATTTTAAGCTCGTTTTAAGGCCCTATTTATTCAAAAAAAAATTAAACTTTTGAATTTTGAGATGTATTTGTTTTATTTTTTTATTTCATAATTTTTTGTTTCGACGAATGTTAGGTTTTCACAGAATATAAGCAACACCACACCGCTACCTACGACGAAATATTCAAAACTTGTTGACAGCGATGAGGATGCTATGAGTCACTTTAGGAACAGCTTGTTAAAAATCCCTTTTTCTATAGAGCATGGCTGTTCGTCTGTTATCTGTACATGATTGTTTGTGGCTTTGTTGAAGTGAAACTTCTTTATCGGCGTTGGAAAAAAATTTACCGTCACATTTTTCGGTTACGCGTCACATTTTTCCGTTACGCGCCATCTGTTTTGTATTCATGTCTATGATAATAAAATCCTTTTGTTTAAACTTTATCTAATTTAACTTTTTTGTATTCATGTCTATGATAATAAAATCCTTTTGTTTAAACTTTATCTAATTTAACTTTTTTGTATTCATGTCTATGATAATAAAATCCTTTTGTTTAAACTTTATCTAATTTAACTTTATTTAACCAATTTCTAGAAAGTTGCATGTAGATCATTTTTCGAAAAATAAGGCCATAAAGAAGTTTCACTTCTTACGTGTGTACACTAGTACACGCACACATTTTTTATTTCTTTCTTAGCGCTCCATGCGTTCTTACTAGAGATGAAACGGATAGTTTTTTGGCCGGATATCGGATACCGAATATTCAGCAAGTTGCGAGGCCGGAGCGCCGCATATTTGGCTACCAGATATTCAGCCCTTTCGGAAATATTCGTGCGCGTTCGTGTTGTGGCACATGAACGAAGATCGCGACGACTCGGTACGAGGACTATTTGATATTCATTCACAACAATTTGCTACTTGTTAATTTTGAGTATTAAACAAACTATTTAATAAAACAATCACTTTTGACGTGCGATTATAAAAATAGAAGTTGTCCATAACCTATTGTGGTATTATTTGCCTTTTGTATAACCATGAGATTTTCTTAAATTTTACAATACGAAATCCGACCGGATTGACTTACCATTCGGTATCCGGCCGGATAGTGAAAACATGGCCGGATAGGCTGGATACCGGATAGATAACGGATATCCGTTTCATATCTAGTTCTTACTTCGTTTATCCGACGGAGTTGAAACTTTTACAGCTATTGTAGACTCTTCAGGGAATGTTCCCGAAACGGTAACAACAACATACAACATGTTGCAGCCTTATTTATTGTATTACATTTGTGAAACAGTTTGCAGCCAGCAGGCTTTATATGGAGCTTTTATTGCCCGCCCGTATACATACTGCTACGCGCTGAGGTTCGAGATAAATAAAAAATCTACCGGAGTACAACTTAAAACTGTATTTATCACTTACAACACTCGCAGAACAGTTTAAAATTCTTAATTCACTTCTTCCGCTTCGCTTCAGATGATCAGTTCGCTGTTTCGCTTCGGGTAGGTCCGATTACCAACTGCCGGCGTGCCATCTCTGCAACGCTTTTAAAGTCGATGCGACATCCCTAGAATCGTCGAGAACATTCCTCACAAGTCGAGTACCTTGGTCTCCCTGGTCTGACGCTGTGGAAGGTGATCTGCGCGAGGACGAACCTACTACTATTAGTAGTATTATCATTATCTCACATTATCATGGCTGAAATTTCGCCTTTCCACCGTTGAATTAATCAAATGAAACAAAGCATCGTAAATTGATTTGCAACATTAATATTACGAAAACATGTTTTAATCTATATATTAATACGTGAAGCAAAAACTTTGTATCCCTTTTTACGAAAATTGCGCAACGGAGGAGAATGAAATTTTCCACACTTATAGAGAATATAGAGAAGAAGTGCACAATGCTAATATATTTTTTTAATAATGCATAAAAGATACATTAAATCAATAAAGAAAACATTACACACACTACATACCATGTATTTGACGCACACACGCATGCATACTATTTATTGTCAAACTTTTGTTCTTGACGTCTGTTGTCAAATTGAGAATAGATTAAATATTGTTTGTCTTTGTTAATATTTTTATAGTGTAGTCTTGGCGAAATTTGTGATTATAGANATAAAGAAAACATTACACACACTACATACCATGTATTTGACGCACACACGCATGCATACTATTTATTGTCAAACTTTTGTTCTTGACGTCTGTTGTCAAATTGAGAATAGATTAAATATTGTTTGTCTTTGTTAATATTTTTATAGTGTAGTCTTGGCGAAATTTGTGATTATAGAAGTATAAAATACAATCATAATAGTGTAGAAACTTACAATTCCAATTAATTATAGTCGAATTTCGACTACTGCGGGACCTCTAGTATTAATAAGCAATCGATTATTATTTTCTTAGAATCAAATCTCATTAAAACTGTATAGAAACATTTGAGCACCGTCGTTGCAATCAAAAGATCGCTAGTGAAATTCGAAGAAATAATATTTTTAGAGAAATCTCGAATAAATCAAAGGAGATATATTTCACAAACATCTGTTTTCATTCGGTTGGATGGGGCTATGCGAGAGAACACAATCCATCTATTCAAATTTATTGGAAGCATAAATCTTTTTGACAATTTTTTTGTCATTGGCTCGACAATTCATGCAAGGAGTTTCTAGTTTTATAGCCTAGACAAGTGAACGAGCTCTCAGCCTATCTGGTGGTAAATGGTTACTGGAGCACATAGATTTCACCCAAATGCCACCACCCAACTTGAGATATGGGTCAAGTCTCAATTGTAGGTTCTCTAGTCCCTCAAAATAGGAACGCATTGATGTTTCGCAGCGAAACTACCTATGGGTCGTCTTAACAACCCGCGTGGAGTCATAACTTATACCAGCAGATATTACGCAGTTTTTAATTTTTGCGGGTTATATTTGTGAACACGAGTTAAGTGTGCGTATTACATTAGAATTGGTACCTCTAACGCTGGTACAGTCACATCGCTCGATACATGTACACGTGTTTTATTCTGTAGAGTGCGCTGATAAGAATACAACACTTTTTAAGGTCATTAAAAGTACGGCTTAAATAATTAGGAAGTATTCGTTTTCAGTGTAGTTTCATCGCAGTGACTATAGTGGAGATTATCGAAAAATTAAACTACATATTTGTTGAAATTAAATTATATACGAAACCGCTACTGGAGTATTAGGTAGATTTTGTAGAAGATTTCATTTTTCCCCCCTACCTATTCGCCAGTAGCCTAGGGGGGTTATTCCCGCTACTTTCGGAGGGGTAAGTGAGCTCACGAGCTCAACCTCAGAGTATTCGCGTTGAGTAGATCCGGCGAGAAACTCAGTAGGATGTGTCTAAAGGTTAGTTTACTCGTCGAACTATTCATCGTAATTGACGAGTTCGACGAGGGCAGTGACCGGTGCTTGAGGGTTCTAAAAGCACGGAGATCGGATAGGTAATTAGCGGCGGTCACAATAAGAGGTTTATTGTATCACGCCACTTTGTGGAAGTACATAGGTATTGACTCAAACTTATTGATTATTAATTATGGAGAAATCTAGCATGAATGAAACAACTACATTTTTTTTTATTGCCTAGATGTGTAGACGAGCTCACAGCCCATCTGGTGTTAAGTGGTTACTGGAATCCATAGACATCTACAACGTAAATGCGCCACACACCTGGAGATATAAGTTCTAAGGTCTCAGTATAGTTACAACGGCTGCCTCACCCTTCAAACCGAAACGCATTACTGCTTCACGGCAGAAATAGGCCGGGCAGTGGTGCCTACCCGTGCGGACTCACAAGAGGTCGTACCATCAGTAAAATTAAAATCATTTTCGCATATTATGAAGTTTTAAAAATAGCCACTTGTTGCTCTAACTACAAACTCTCTTCCCTGCATTAAAAAAGTTCTATTTTAATAAAAAAAAATAATTACTGTTTATTAAATATTAAATGTTGGCAACTTCTTGTTTACCACTTTCATTTATACATAGCGTATCAGAGAGGTTGACTTTGACAAATATCAATTACATAAATTACGTACCGTATTTAATTTGAGACTTAAATTTTGTCTTTTATTTTTTTAATTATTACTATGACATTGATTTTAGTAATATAATGCTTAAGGGCAAAAGATGTCGTGGGAAACGACCGTGATCATGTTTTCATTTTTTATTGTTTAGATGGGAGGACGAGCTCACAGCCCGTCTGGTGTTAAGTGGTTACTGGAGCTCATAGACATCCACAACGTAAATGCGCCACCCACCTTGAGATATAAGTTCTAAGGTCTCAAGTATAGTTACAACGGCTGCTCCACTCTTCAAATCGAAATGCATTACTGCTTCACGGCTGAAATAGGCAGGGTGGTAGTACCTCCCGGTCGTGGACGGGCTTGCGGTGCGCACTCTGCGTGCTGTGGGTCTCGTCTGCGGGGGAGTTGCTGGACTTCGACCGGGCGCGTCCGTAGGTGGCGGATCACGGGCCTCTGGGCAATAGTCACAGGGGCATCACTCCTTCTCTCCCGTTGTGTTACGGCGGGAGAGATTGAGCGACGCGGACCAAAACCAGCACCGGGGGCTACACGCTCTCCTCCCCCTTCACCTGCTGAAGGGTGGTTCTTCTGGAGATGCGTGGGCCTCCACTTTTTTCCCTTTTCTTTGTTACTTTATTGTTTTGTTTTTACTGTCCCTTGGTTATTTTTATTGATCTTAAGTTTTACCCTGTCTCTTTCTCTTCTTTTGTTTCCGTTCATTGTTTTATTTTACACGCTTTTCTATTCTTCTTCGCCTGTGGTTTTATTTTGTTTTATTTGGTTTTATTTTCATCTTCTTTCCCTCTCATACCCAATTCTAAGCTCTGACACCCGGCGAGAGAATGAATGGCTGGTGGGGGACCAGTCGTTAGGGTGTCCCAGGGAACCGTACCCCGGGTTAAAAAAATAAATAAAAATTTATGTAATGGCCAGTTTAAAAAAGTTATTACCCCAGGAGGGTACCTCCCGCTCAGCGGGAGGAGAATCCCTCCGTGTGGCCGACTCGTCGGACGCACGCTGCCCCGCGTATTCTGGGGGGGGCAAAAACTGCCTAGACGTCAGGTCCGGGAAGGACGGAGTTCAAAAGAAGAAAATTATGTCCGAGAAGGACCCTGAAGTAAGCTCCTTAAGAGCCGATGTCGTGTCGGACAACGATATGGCCACAGTTGGTTCGGCCCAGTCGTCGACCCATTCGTCGCCGACACGACGACGGCGGAAAAGGGTGCTCAATATAAGCTCGGACGGGCTGAGTAGCAGCTCCGGCTCGGAGGCTCAGGATCCGACAGGTGTGAAGCCCAGAGCAGTCACGCCGTCAAAGCGTGGACGGGGACGCCCTGCGACCACAGGGCAGTACGTTGGCATGGCCGCTGCCAGGCAAGCGTACCTCAAGGCACAAAAAGAGGAGAAGGAGCTCACTGAGAGGCGCGCACCACACGCCACAAGAGGAGAGCGGTGAAGGGTCTGTCCCTAAGCCCGATGCCGAGCGTAGGCTCCATCAAAGTGCAGAGGTGGCCCTGATGGTCGCCGCCAAATCCAGCAGCCCGAAGGAGCGTACGTGCGTGCACTGAAGGAGTGCAGTCACTGTCAAGGAGGCCACGGAGGACCTTGTGGGCTACACCGCAGCCGAAGAGGCTAAGAGACTGCGAGCGGTCAACGTCAAGAGGAGCAGGAGATCCTGCAACTGCGTAAGCGAGCTCGATGAAGTTAGAAGGACGTTGGCGAGGGTTTCGCAGGTGCCTGCGCTTGCGCCACCACATCGACTGCGACACCCGGCCCCGAACACCAAGGAGGAAGAGGAGGAGTTGCGCCTACAGCGCATTATGCGAGCTGTCGGCACTATGCTCGACGCTCGCTTTGAAGGGCTGGAGGCACGGCTTCTACCGGAGCCCCGAATGCGACCACCGCTAGCGGCGGACAAGCAGAGGAGCCGGGAAGAATCGTCTAATCCCCCTGTCGTCGTTGACGCTGCACCGGATGCGGCACCGTCATCAGTGCCACCGATGACATTGGCGAAAAAGAGGATGCGTGGCCCCAAGAGAATGTCACCGCGCAAGCGGCTTCATCCGAAACGCACACCTTCCTCCCGGCTCCAGCTTCCATGATCGAGAGCTGGTCAACGGTCACCCGTAGGGGTGCTCGACCGAGGGAGGAAGCAGTGAGGACGGTTCCAGCGGCAGCTATCGCTGAAGC